CTATAACACTATGGTATGCCTGGGAAGATCATAAACATCATCGAGAGTTCTTACGACGGACTACACTGAAGATACGTTCATGGAGGACAGTTGACAGATGCATTCCAAGTGAGAACCAGAGTCAGACAAGGCTGCCAACTCTCGCCTCCCTTCTGGCGGTTAACTGGATTTCGAAAACCTCTATATCTGACGGGAACCACTGAATACAACGGACAACGTGGACTTTACAGACGGCCTGGCCTTTCTATTCCATACACACGAACAAATCCAGGTCAAGACAACCAGTTTAGGAGAGGCCTCTTCACCAGTAGGCCTCAACATACACAAGGGAAAAAGTAACATCGTCAAATACAACACAGTACACTAACCAAATCACACTTGGTGGATAAGCTCTGGAAGAGGTGGAGACTTCCAAGTACCTGGACTGCATTACCGATGAACGAGGCGGATCTGATGCAGATGTAAGGGGCGAGGATTGGCAAAGCAAGGGCAGTATACCAACAATTGAAGAACATATGGAACTCAAAACAACTGCCAAACAATATCAAAGTCAGAATCTTCGGTACGGACATCAAGGCAGTTCTACTGCGTGAAGCTGAAACTTGGAAAACTTTAATGCTGGTGAGTACTCCCCGGTCTATTGGTAGAAGAAACCCGGAGCGAGGTTACCTTTCCAAACATACAAGGGCTTTCAAAAGTCAAACAAACAATAATAACTGAATTTATCTTCACCCCACTGCACAAGCTAGTAGCTATCAGGACTCAGTAGTAAAGTGAACAACGCGATGGCATTTGAGGCGAACGGTACTTGGTTCGAGTCCCAGAGTGAACATCTATTCAGAGATGCAGGTATCTCCAGATGTTGAGTCCCAAATGAGACGAAACGCGAGGCCTGGACTCCACTACTAGCCAATATCAAGGCAATATCGAGGCACATATACCAATAAGAGAGTGACCAATTTCAGCCCTAAACATCAGATTCAAATAAACAGGTGTTTTTGGTCAGCTACAAACCAGTCAACCGAAGTTGATACAGAACTACCACAAACACCACAAAAATGTACAGGTACTTATAAACAGTTGTTTACGCAAGATAATCAGTGTTCGTTGGCCGCATACCATCATTAACAACCCAATGTGAGAAGGAGCGAATCAGCTTCTAGTCGAAGAGGGAATTAGGAAACGATGTTGGAAGTGGATAGGATATATATTACAGAAATCATCAAACCACACGACAAAGCAAGCGCTAAACCGGAATCCCTAAGGGAAAAGGAAAAGAGGAAGACCGAAGAACACATGGCGTCGAGGATTGAGAGCAGACATCAAAATAATGGACAGTGACCGAAAACAACGAAAAATGATTGCCCAGGACAGAGTCCGATGGAGAATCCTGGTGAGCGACACATGCTGCTCCACGGGGTTAGCAGGTGTAAGTGAATGATTGAGTAATTAATACTGCCATATCTTGAATTACTGTTAAGTCTTTTCGAAGCCCAGGTCAATTTTTTGCGTTTTGTAGACCTCCAGATCTGCGCGTCATTTGCATAGACTAGTACCGCTAAGAAAATTTTATCCATAACGTCATTAAGAGATCAAGAAAGGAAGTGGACTGAATATAGCCCCTGTGAAACTCCTTGTGTTAAGAATTGTCAGGTGTCCTGTACTCTATTCACCTTGATACGAAACATACTGTTCTCCAGGATGTTTTGAATCCAGGATAAAAGTGGCTCCATGAAACCCAGCTTTGTGACTTATTGTGAGGAGTATGTGTGGTACTGCATGGAACACGTTTGCGAAGTCAAACAGTATTTCATGGACATGTAGTGATATTGTTTCTAATCATATGATCTTCGATGCTGAGCATGAGATAACTGAGAAAATTCGTATCCAACATTTAACACGGATAGAAGGTCAGCTACGGTGAACGCGAGAACAGTTCATCGAGATGCCATGACTCGGTCACGTAGACGCTACGACCATAACCTCTTGCTTTTTTATCAAATATATTACTATATTCTAAGCTCATATATGTTCGTCAGAAATGCTAGTCTTCATATTGCTGGTGGTCAGGAGTCAGTGTATACTATATGACTTTCATATAAGAGCTTATGGATTAGGTAGCCACGTCATAACAAATCTGCAGTTTGGGGATTAGGTCTGTAACTATAGTAGTACTAATACCGAAGTAGGCCATGATTCTACAAACCTGTGTCGTTTGGTCTCTTCAGGTCGTCTAGCTATCCCATTATACGAGGATGTTGGTCTCGCAGGACCTGTCTTTCCTGAACCGGTGTTGAGTTTCACGGAGGATGATGTTTTTATTCATTTATTCCCTCATTTGTTCGTTGAAAAGTCCTCCCGTTACCTTTAACAGCATGGGGGTAATTTGACCAGTCTATAAAAGGCCGAGTCTCTTTTTTCCTTTCTTTGAAGATTGGAGAATGGCCTGCTACCATTCTCTTGATGGTTGATGCGAATTTAGTGAGCGTCTGAACAGGTCGCATACTGGCTACTTTTTTCGAATTTGTCGGTGCTTGTTAGGCATCCGTTGTCTTAACAACTTTTTGTTTATTTGCCAATTGCTATAAAGTTGACTAAGGATAGTGTGTGAAGTGGTGTCGCATGAAATTTTTCAGGGTGTTATTTAATAAACGATATTTCTGTGAAAAGTCTTCTAGACTTTGAGAATGATTGTGGATATACCATTTGGAAACTAGGTAAAACAATATAACAAATGTGAATTTTGTGTTGTGTGATATATGTACTAACTGATAATAACTTTGTACTTGATCGAACTTCCATTATGAACTCAAAATATAGTACATCCAGTTTTGCTTATCTAGTTTTACCTGCATTAAATTGCTTTATATCAGAAATTATTAGTTAGCAAATCAGATTGAATACTTTGATTCATCATAGTTGGTTATAGGAAAGAGCTCAAGGTCAAGGAAAATCTTATGGAGCACTTTGGTTGAAAAACCCAGTCATTGTTGAGTCGTAGCGATTATGTCACGTTCCACTCAGGATTTCTGGAGGGATTTTCTCAAACTTAGGGTTGACGTTTGATTTCAAATACTCTGACAACCAATTATAATTGTTGAGAAATATGGAATTTTGAAAAATCTTCATTTTACAGACAGTCTGAGTGAAGGAACTTGAGGGAACTATGAAAATGATCACACGCTTAGTAGCTTACAATCACATTCATTTAATACATAGGTTCTAAGAAGAAATATTAAAATTGTTATCTTATTACTGTGAGTCTAGTAGTATATCTAATCATCCCGAAGTCAACGATGTGTTGGTGGTCATTTGATAGTGAAATATATGGGACTGAGTGTGGTCTTAAGTAAGGGCATCTATATAGATGCGAGCACATTGACTACTTAATTGCAGGCCTTCTAAGATAAATGAATACGATGCTAACACAGTACTGAGTAAAAGAACACGAACCAAGTCTAAAGGAAAGCTACCTAATAGTATATTGTTATCGAAATAATACAACGTGGGGGTAAGTTCGTAAATAAATAACTAGGATAGAGATGTAACCACCAAAAAAGTTTGGATTAACAGTTATTTTACAGGTTATTACTACGTATTCTTCCTGGAATAGGATGGCATGACAGTAAGTGCAAAATATGGGAAACAACAATCATTTGACACTAATGTTTTTGTCACAGTTACTGTACAACTTTAGACAATGGGCAACTAACGCTCCATCTTTTCCAAGTTCAAACATCCTCAGAGAAGAATTAAATGAGTTACATGTGTAGTTTGCAATGCATCAGATGGACTAATTTACACCCTGAAGTTTCGAAATTAAGTCCGTTGTTATCTGCTCAACTTTGAAGTCCACTAGGATTCACCTGAAACGTCAGCTAATCATCTTTGTTTCGAAGTGATCTCCAAAGTTTTACCACGTGAGCGAAGAAGAGAATTGGATCACTATAATCTGCGTAAGCTTAACGCATGTAATTCACACCAAAACGAATTCTAATGAGAACCAGATATGCTCATTAATAGCCATCAAACTAGATAAAAAGCCTAAACACAGTCTTACATCTGGAGTCAAAAGAATTTTCCGAAATACAGTACAAAAATATTTAAGTTACACACAGGATGTATTTTTTCCACACTCTGCACGATTTTCACACCAAATATTGCAAACTGATATCCTTCTTTAGAAAAAGCAAGCGCTCTCAACCCATCGGAATCATTTTCTATTGAAATATTCAGGATATTTATGATATCAATGAAGGATGAACTTCGATAGCTGTCATTACTAGTTCGTCTGTATTCCACCAGGTAGTACCCTTAGATTTAGAGTTCAGAGAGTAAACATCTTAGGGGTTGCAAGTTGTACGTAACAATTTTTAAGATAAGCTGGTTTCCAGCACATAAGTCGCGAGTAGTAAAAATCCCATTGAGCGTTCACACTGAAGATGACACAGGTATTCAGTGTTTGACAACGCTTTTACCAGTAACACCTAATATAATTCGTTCCCACCCAGAGAAATCAAAAGACAGAGTCGAGGAGATCGGAAGAGTGTATTTGGCGATTACTAATATATCGGAATTCTCTTTTCTAATCTGGCTAGCGATTGCGATAGATGTTGAGCATAGCGTTACCACACGTGATCTGGTGCGGATGCCTGACCGAGCGCCTTCAGCTAGATGAGTCCACTAAAACATATTGTCAGCATCCAATGTCGAAAACTTAGAGCTATTTATTTTGGGGATTTATTTACCGCAACAACACATTTCCAAGTTCAGCTATCCTAGTTAAATTGGCAATTCACCGGACAACAACTAGCTATATTCACTGTGTAGAAATAAAAGTGTTTAACTCTTTGGTCTTCATTAAGAGGTATCTACGTACGAATTAATTGATATTGGTTTTTATAAAGTTTTATGTAAGAGCTCCATCGTGTAAGATGAGAATTACTGAGTAAAGTAGTCGGGTCAATTAATCAAGAAGCAGAAACTGAATGGCTATGGAAACTAAGTTTTATTTTTACAGATTGTACAACGTCTCTAGGCCTATGTATGCGAACAAGAAATCTGGTTCAAGTTAGTGGGTTTCCTAAAATTGGACGGTACCCAAGGTTGTGTATCGCGCCAGTGCAATAGTAAGTTTTCGACATAAATAATATCGCCAAACCCAGTTACACAAAGCCGTTTTTTGAAAAGTTTAGCTTCATCTCATAAGGTTATTGTTATCGAAAAGATAGTTAATTGGTATCTGTAAGTCTGCTGATCAGCAATCCGGACTACTAGTTTAGGACTACTGTAAACCATAATTTTAATCCATCGTACTGGTTTATGAGCCTTACTTATTCATAGATAGCAGGTGGTTACAATAGCGTTTCTCAAAAGCCGTCCATAACTATTCTTGGTTCAGCTTCCAAAGGCCAACTAGAGGGACCCGACCGGTTTCCAAAAAACTGCAATATTTGGATACTCATTCCTTGTGACATTGCACGTAGTTTTAAATATCCCGTCTGGCTTGATAAAAATGTTGACCGGGAGGGAATCTACCTATCCGAACACACTTGCAAGGACCCTAGTGTTCTTCAATCAACCAACAAAGTGGAAACGTGCCAGTGTCTGCTTTTTCGCCTGTCCAGGGGAAATGATACTGATTTTCCCCTCTTTGTCGCTTAGTTGTCTACCTTCCGCCTAAATATACGCCAAATTGTCTACTTTTCCTCCAACTTTTAAAACACCATTAGCATAACCCCAAAGGTCTCCTATGTTCGCCTTTATTCCCATAACACAATAGATGTATTTAACCATTCGTCAGTATTTATATATTCCAGGTTACTCGGCTATGTATAATACTAATCATACTCGCACTAGGCTTAAAGATGCTATGTATTCTAAAAGGACATGTACGTGGTAGGTTAATTACATGTCAGAGTCTACGCTCATTTATCTTACTGTCACTAATCTACTGGTCGAAAGTATGTATTGAAAGACAAATGTTATCTTACCATTCCCACTACAAAATTAAAACTAGCGTTAAACGATTCCCCACAATAATGTATAAGCCTCATTTATCTATGGTAAGTTGGTGAGCATTCTCAGGGTCGCTTGAACGCCGTTCATAAATCATAGTCTCGTCTTATGGAATGCCACTTTAAAATTCAGAATACCTTCTGAACTGAACTGACCCTGATTTGCAAATCTGAGGAAATCACTGAAATGCGATTGGTACGGTAGAGAACACTGCATCAACAGGTAAAATAGTCGTTACCAGCAAAAATCTTGAGGTAGTTTTATTAAGTACATAGGCTTAAAAAAAGAAAATAACCCTCAAAACACAACATAAGCTTTATGTTAAGAGAAGAGGCAAGACTACAAGGCTGAATCCAACAAAGCTCAAATCCTTAAAAGACAGAATTGTCCTCCGTCCACAAAACGTAACGATGGTCAACGTGAAATTAGATGAGGACCGTATGTTCCCACTCGTATCAGGGTAACTTTCCTATTATCAAACTTCCTTCATAAGGTTACAACAAAGGCAGTTCTGCTATCCATACAGCATTAAATAGAGGGATAAACTCCTAAAAATGTAGAGATTTCTGTGATAAAGCAAATAAAACTAGTCAGCACGACAACTATGACCTTCACTACTACTAATTTTAGATCAAAATACTGGTGGGTAATTAAAACTTGAATTACCTCCTATATGCTAATCACTTTTATTCTTATAAATCCTTTATGCTAGTTGCACCAATTGTCAACTCATTTTGTGGACTATAAGAGTTAAGTCAAACCTGTTTTTGACTAGTCATACTTAATTGCAAATCACAACACGTAAAACGGCAATAATATCTAAAGAAATCAAAATAACCATTCCGTTGAGTAGTAACAAATAACTTATATTTTAGATGGCCGAACTATTTTTAGACCCATCTATTCGATCCTGGGTATTCCTTCCTCTTGTAATAATTACTTTCCTCTTTGGGGTTTTACGTCATTACATGACTATCATGTTCACCAGTGAGAAAAAGGGTGAACTTGAGAATATCGGTGATAGGTAAAGCCTTGAGTTCAACTTTTTTTACCGTTCCAGTCATGCCTTAATCCGCAGTAGACTTTTACGTGAAAATGGAAGATTCTTGCCCGCAAAAGTAAGATTTGGAAATAGATAGATATTGTAGGCTTTTAAAATGCGCAAGTATTTCTTCAACGATAAGGAGCATGGGTTTTTTAAAACACAAAAGCGAGAAAGTCCAATGAATAATCCAATGGCTGGTAAGTCTCATACACTACAACCAAGTTTCCGACAGACCCCTCAATGGCAACTGAGATGCTAAGAAGCAATGCGCTCAATATGGTTCCAATGATTGTTATTGGCAGCTGGATCAACTGGGCTTTTTCAGGCTTCTTGACCACGAAAGTTCCATTTCCACTCACTTATCGATTTAAGCCCATGCTTCAAAGGGGCTGTGAGTCGCTTACTTCTCTGGATGCATCTTGGTAAATTTTTGTTTAATAGTCGAACCGGTTTTAGGGTTAGCTCTGCATCTTGGTATTTTCTGAACATATTTGGCCTCAGAAGTATGTATGGTTTGGTACTTGGTTCGGACAACGCAGCTGATAACTCGATGATCTTGCCAGATCACCAAGTACCTACACCACAAGCTCCACAGGATATGCAGAAGGCGTTCAAGGCAGAATGGGAAGCATTGGAAGTAGTCGACCATCATTGGGCTTTAGCAGACTGTGAAACAAGATTACTGAACAGATTATCTTGATGCATTCAATTCTTCTTTAAATGTCAATATACTCTGTTTTTCGAAAATCTTTTTGGAAAAAAGTAATCAGAAGAATCTTATCGTACATAGGTGTATTTCAGGAAGGTGAATAAGAGGGCTAATAATAAAACGTCCACACACATATCTTAAACGCACAAAATCGTGGATAAATGCGTTTAGGAAAAAATATAATTTACAAGGAAATATTATGTGGTGGTTAATAGCAAATGTACTTGGGATTCAGGCAATAAAATGTTACTGAAAAAGATAAATTAATTCAATACAAAAACTCGAGATCAGATCAACAAAATATTAAAACAAATTATCCTCGGAAAGTGATTTCAAAAGAATTAAAACAGGATCTCTGCCTCACAAGAGGTATCATCACCTATGAAATAAGAAAATCACAAATTCAAAACATTGATAAGATTAAAAAACTAGAAACAGAATAAGTGATAAACCGTTAGGGTTTTGGAAATCAAAAATGTGTTAACCGATCGGAGACATGTCAAGTTTGGTTCTAGTCGTAATAACACATTAGTCCTCACCTTCTTAGTTTAAACTAGGACCGATCAAGTTCTTAAATGAGGAATTATGTCATGTAGCACTTAAGTTGGTTACATTGCATTTCTTTGTTAACCCTACGAAGCGATTAATTAGTTTTTCTAAATGTCAAACTCGTGGGGTCTGTTTATTCGGTTGACGTAGTCTATACCAGTTTTTAGTCAGAAGTATATTCGGCTTTACTGAATAACAGTAGTGATCCTTCAATCCGTGTTATGGACAAAATACATATTTCAAAAGCTTATTTCCTATTTTGGGAAAAAGGATGTCCAGATGAAGTTTGAAGCTGCATTAATAATCGAGCGTAAAGACAACCTCTCATTTTCGTGTTATCTGTAGGGTTTTCGATTCCAATGAGGAATGGCTCACAATGATTGCTAACAATTTACTGCAAATAGTTGGACCTAATTCTCTACATCGGTCTCAATTAAAAAACCATTCAGCTTTATTTGTTTTTATGCGTACAAGTTTTTTTATTTTTCACTTCCACCAATTGGGACTTATATGAAGGTATGTAATTCAATCATTAGAATGCTTAAGTAACATGAACAGTCATTATTACGCGAAAAAAATTACATATTTATTTAACTTTTTCCAAATGACATTAATGCACATGTAAGGAATGAATCGAAGTGGGATATCCATGTATGATAAAGAAATGAACTTTTTATTTAAACACATGAACATTGGTACAAGGAGGTACCAAAAATATATGCGCCACACAAATCGAATGATTTGCGTGGGGACTGGAAAACTACCCAGGTGCCCAAACCGAAGCAGGTGGATTTTTTATGGGGCCACACCCCGAGCCCTCAACCTAGAGGTATAATCTACAAGGCAGTGGAACAACGTCGGAAGATGCAGTCCCATGGTAGACGGTGACCAACGATTGGTTCATACGCCATTTGTTCCTTCAGGATACTAGATCCCATGTACACTAATTGGTTTGAAATCAAGTTTTTCCAACCCCCCCCTTATGTGGATCCTCCATATCCACCAACCCGGTTAAAGCACCAGACATTCGTTTTTCGCCCTCTTAATTTCGTAAAGAACACCCCCGTCTTGAGAAATGAACTTAATGAAAAGCTTTTATACATGCATTTGACGAAGTAAGCCATACTTTATATTTAACAATGAAGCAAACTGAAACCTTTTAATATACTTACTTTCGTTTTGGAGTCAGTTGAGACGTCGAGTTTGAGCTAGACTGAGACATTGGGATTAGGAGCTTTTGTCTGGCGATTACCGCACTCATTCTCGAGGATGGGCGTCTTGACAGGGCATCCGAAAGATCTGTACGTTTATTGGTTTTTAGTCTCAATGAGCTTCTTACATTCCTTCTCACAAGCTTTTTGTTTGTAGAATGTGAGGTTCTTCCTGGATTTCTAGTAGGCTTCTGGCAATTTTCTGAAATTACTGAGTTCCTTGGTCTTAATGAGACGTTCTGGTCGTTTTTTTTGGATGTAGATGTTTTAATATTCCTTCTAGAGTTTTTAGTAGGACGAGATTGATTTTGCTTTGCATTATTGGGTTGTGGGTTTTTCTTAACCTTAATGTTTACATTCTTACTCGGAAAGACGGAAGATAATCGTTGACTTGTATTCTTTATTTGGGAAAAGGTCTTGTTTGAGGAAATTTCATTAACTTTTACAACAGAATCAAGTGTGGATTGTTTTTTGTTTGAATTTGAGTCTGATAATTTACTAATACGTGGGCGTTTAAGATTTTCTTGTGGAGTTGTTTTTCGACGCTTTTTCCTATTAACAGCTTCTCGGTTAGGGGTAGACGGTCTCACTTCCTGTGTTTTTGTAATATCAGCACAAACTTTAGGATCAGTTTCTGAGGACATGTTATTACTGGTAGATGGTACACAAATGGATATAATCTCCTGTTGTTGATCTATTTTATCTCGGCTGTCTGACAGGGAGTTCTCATTATCGTCATTGCTTCCATATCCTGATAGCTCGTCAATATTATTATTTGATTTAGTCTTAAATTTCACCTCATTTTTCTCCTTTTTCTTATGACTGGCTGTTTCTTCTGCCTTTTTCCTACATGAAAAGAAACATTCTGAGTCTCAGGAAAGTTCATAAAAACAATAAAAAACGGGATAATTAGTGAGGAAATTGTACACGGTTAACAGGCCCAGTTTAACTAAGTAAACTGTTTGTATGTAACCGAAAGAACAGCTGGATTTTAGTACATTAAAAGATGATAAACTAACAACGATAAATTTAGTATCTCATGACTAATTTGACATAACCATAAAGAATTTGACTAAATATTGAAAATCTAAGTAGCTGGCCACTCAACAGTATTCATAAACGTTTAGTTTACAGCGCGAAATCTATATACTTGTGCGGACCTGATTTATATTAGTCAGTCCTTGTGATAAGTAATTAATTATTCGTAGAACGCACAAAACCAACAACTTTGGTTTAGAAGGAAGTTTTAATTCAACCACAATCGGATGATAAATGGATTTCCAAGATTCTTAATAAAACTCCTAATTGTGTGAAAAAATTTGGGAGAAAACTATTGTCTTTTGTTCGTAACTGTAAAGTTTTACATCTTTTAGCACTGCATACTCTTACCAAATACTAAATTGCTAGTGAAGAATCAAATACTCCCATTTCGGCACCGGTTGGGAGATGATTTGAGTTGGCAAAAATATAAGTAACGTAAAACCAGAAGTCAATAATTAAGTTAGAAACACGTTAAGCTACTAAACAGTTTCATCTTAGTGAAAAAATATGTCCATATGACGGGACTATATTGTTGTTCTGGCCATTACCGATAACCAATATAGTGTAAAAATAGTTAACTAAATACCTTGGCTTTGAAGTATTAGCACCTTTGGGTTTTACAAGCTCAGGAGGAATTAATCCCTCTTTAAATGCTTTTGTGTGTTTGTTGGGAGTGAACTGTAAAATTGGTTGGACCTTATTTTTGATGGACATTTCCAAAGGTGGATTTGTAATGTTTGTACCTGTTTGTGCTTCACTTTCTGAACCGATATTTATCAGTTGCTTAAAATCAGGATTGCGAAAATCACTTGGTGCAGAGGTAAAAAGAGTTTTAGGTAGCTTGACATCCACCGGATACTCTTTAATTGTCGGATTAATGCAACGTGATAATAAAAGACCCAAAGAAATATCGCATACAGTATACAGTTTCTGTTGAGTAAATAATAAAAAAGGGGAAAAATACAACAGTAAAGTAATATCAGTTGTCAAGTTACAAGTTTCGACTTTTTTATATATCTAATATAATTGTTAACACACCAAAAAACCACACAATTCCAGTCATTTATCAACAGCTAGAGGAAGGTATAGTCGAATCTTAATTGAGTATGCAGTTTCAAGTGTGGTAATTTTTTTCACTAAGGTTCAAACACAAGGCTATAGGGGTGTCCAACTGATAAACGTAGTTTAAATACTTATGCATGGACATTTAGTTCGAGTTTCAAAATGAAAACTAATTCATAATCAAAATTAAATAGAATACAACACGTGTGATTGACTTTACTGTTGGTCATCAAATATATGGTGAAGGTAACGTTCAAAAAGCATGAGTATGCTAACAGATTGATAAATTAAATCAGATACGGAAAACACTAAGTTTTAGTGGAGATTTTCCAACAATAACTGTGATCTATTACTATCGCGTGAATAATTTAACATTGAATTGATAAAGAGCGGATTGATAATAGTTGGATTTACAATAAATCGTACAAGATTATGAATATACTATTAATCGTATTCCAAATTTACGTTAACTCGATAATCCAGAAACTGGAGAAAAAAACTAACAGTATTCAATTGTTATGGATACAAACGTTAAACGAGGTAAGGTGAAGGCCATATGCAAGTGCAATGGCTCTGGAAAACGTTTCCATTTGAGATCGATAAGTTCTAAGCTGATCATACGTTTGAATACTAAACTAATGGTCAGTTTTCACTTGATATTCAAATTAGATGGAAACAAGATGCTTAAGAGGCTTATAATAATACGTATATTTACTTTACAAAAACATTATATATTGATTAAGAAGAATGCAACACTTTCATACACACGATTAGAAGATGCGACAGGGGTGCTAATAATATTTTCAGTGCTGTAAACAGCACAAAAGAAAACTAAAAGCTGCCTACACCAAGGTCTACTTTCCAATATTTGCCATTTTATTATTGTTCAGCGAGTTAGTCCTAACTGTGATTACCATCTTGGCGTGATGGTCTATCGTGGCGATCCAATCGAACTATATTTCCTAGGACATTCATTTACTTAGGTCCTAAAATATCAGCAAGTTCTGTTGGAAGAACGTAAGAATAGACGCAGCAGCTTGAGGTACAACAGAGAAGTACTGTTAATTGCACCGAGCGTGATAGCAGCAAGGCAGTTTCCCGTCATGTAATCAGCATCTTCAGAGATGTTGCATCCTCACAAAGGGAAGGAAAGGCTATGAAATGTTGATCCTGAAAATGTCACGAGTTAATGCGCCATTGACACATTTCATTTGGTCACTGAAAACATCCTGGTAACACGTTTCCTAAATCCCTTTAGATCCAGACTAATGCTGAGACTGACACAAAATTTGAATGCACCCTATATACGTTTAAAATCTTCCTAATTGCATGATAAAAATATCTAAAAACCACTAATTCAATTTCGGACGATATTTCCATTAAGAACTAATGACAGAATATTTATCCAATAGACTGAATAAAGCAACGAACAATCAACAGTTCTGGTGTGGACAAGTACTGTTTCTACACTTTAGGCTAATTCTAAACAAACGCAAGGTGAATATCAAAAGTCGTTTTTCTCACTGTTTATATATAATCAATAGAAAACGTCGTCTAGCATCAAATTTATAGCATAAAAATTACCCTGGAAAAAAGTACGAAATTAACTGCATAATAACAGAAAACTAGTTTTAATATTGAGTAAATTATTAGCCGAATACAAAAAGATATTTTTCTTAAGTGAAGAGTGAATTGACGAGCCAAAAAAGAAAACAAAATATAAAAAATCACCTCATTAACCAAAGTATCATCAGGATGAAGGGCATCTCGTGCGTATTTAATTTTTTCAATAATCTTTCGTAAAAAACTGAAATTTTCACCATGAGACATAATCGGCTCCATTATGAACCATAAAGCACTAGATAACATAAGTAAACAATAAGAAAAAAAATTTTTTTAAACAATTTATTACCTCCAAGGTATGTTGATTATTCATAATTTCATTATAAATGAATATTACTGATACAATAGTTTTAGGTTAATTTAATATAAAAAAACACACCTTTTGATTTTATTAAGTATTTCTACATCATCTAGTTTTGTCCATTTGGAATCATGAGAGAGTAAGTAAATCACGTACGGTAATACGTAATCAGGTAACAGACCAAATAAAAACTCTGTAGGGATTATAAAAATAATTAACTTATTAAAGATACTGTTATACATAAAAACTATTCATAACATCATATAAAGTCAGTAGAACATAAAAACATTATTATCAATTACAAACAACCAATTCTATTTTGTCTAAGCACAATGTGGTTATAACAGTATCCATCTATTACAACTATGTTCAGGCACTCTCCTAGTCCTGGAAACCACCAACTCTAAGTATGGAGAGAAACTGTTTTAACCTAGCAACTTGCAATAATGGTCACAAACAGATCACATAACTACTACTCATCGATCAAAAGGGTCAATAAGAGAATAATGCTGCTTTTGGAGTACGTACCTCACAGATGGAACAATATTAGACAAAACTTTGATTTATAAAATTTCAGATGAAAACTATATGTAAAAGAAATAAACTACAAGAACGAAGATACAATTAACTAACAGATTATTTACCACTCATTTTAAGTACACACGTCTTAGGGGATAGAAGATTATTAAAATATCAACACACATGAAATCAAAACAAGGAAACAGTAATATGTCTATTTTAAAGCACAATAAAAATCTCTTGTAAGCTATTGATGTATTTTGGTCCTTTATGTATTTATCATCTTAATTCCCTTTAGATCAACATGACAATGATCGTTGATCTCATAAACAGTTTGTCCTAAACAACTCGATTAGGTAGTTAACTGCATACGAATTGAAGTTCAATCACAACTTTGTTCTTATTTCAGTAAAACTATTCTCCTAAAAAGTGATATATAAGTAACTTTTTTGACCAAAATTGTGCATATCTATTTTACGGCCGAGAGATAAACTAGATCCTTTGGATTTAACTACAAGTGGAAAGGCTTAGGATTTCAGATTAGTTTGCTCTAAACATTGTATCTGCTTAATTTTTGGCAGTGTACTGTTATTTTGTGACACCTCTAAGACGGAAGTTACATGGGGATAATCAATAGAATTATCAAGAGCTTATTTGGTTGGCTAGAGGAGTTATTTAGTTATGAGAAAATTTAGTGCGAACCATTCAAGGGTTCAAAGGTAGATTGTCCTATCGCATAATCACATTACTTTTTCTGTATGCAACTCTTGAAATATGAACTGTAGAAATCTGAATATGGAAGAATCAAATGAAAAAAACAACATGAAAGGCTTACTGGCATCACGAAAATACGAAGGGTGTTTATTTAAAAATGCTCGACGACGTTGAATATTCGCAATAAAAAGTTGTTTTGCACGTTGTTTAAATGCAGGTTCTGATACATTAGCAGAGTGTGCGAAAATAGCCATGTACTCAAGAGGAAGACTCAGTTTATATAAACCCTGATTGAGCTTAGTTAGGAAGTGCGAACGCACTTGTGGGCATGGATCCTTGAATGAAAAAGAGTACGAAAAGCATTAGTTGAAATTTGGTAGAAAATAAGTGGTAATAAACAAAAATAGCATACTGACAAACTTCAACGATATTATAAAGTTCGTTGTAATATAGTCATCTAATTTAATAAGACTTTTCTGAACTCAATCGGTACAACGAATTGGAAAGGATCGTCAATAAGTTTATTTATTTTAGTATGACACCGGGCGAATCTTCAGAGAAAAGATCACCAAGAGCACTTCTGTGACTACGTGTGTATATGCGGATTGAAATTCTTCAAGAAATCACAAGTAATGCGAAGGTTCTACGTATCTCCAACTGGTAAACGTTAAAGATTGAAAGGCATAGATCTAGGGAATAATGACGTTGTTACCAAAACACATAGCATATACAGCACATGCTTAAAATATTCAAATTTAAACATTATTAAACAACTAATGGTAAAAATAAAGCAAAGATCTTTCTAGAAAAACTTACACAAAGTATATAGCTCATTGACAAATACCAGCCAATTTCAATACATTCAACATAAGCCTGAGAACGTGCAAGATTTAACCAAGATGTAGCGGCAACTAAGCGCAGCCTTGACATTTCACCGTATCTAAGAGTAATACATATAAATGAACGGATGTGTATTGGCAACCGCAATTGTTGAAAGTGAAACAAAATTAACTACTTATTAGGTATAATCTTAACGCGGTTCACAGAAGCATAACGTAATTACGTTGCCAGACTTAAGACTCTTACCGCTTCAAAACACAGAATAATGTATAATTCTGTAAATAAATATATGTGACCGAACAGTCGTAATAGAGGGATCAGGAAATATAGGAATTGCCTATCGTGAGGACTACCGTAGAGTTGCATTACTGAATTAATGTTGAAGTTATAAGACAGTAATCGATAGTGTGTAGAATTCAAACGATATCTTCTATGCAAGAAAACGTTGATGGTTTATATCGTCTTCATCTAGCTTCAAAATGAATTTGCAAGTTCGTATTCTCATTAAAACAGCCAATTATACAGTATGGTGAAGATGAATACTCAGTTTTCTGCGGTGAACAACTAAAATACATTCATATTAGAATCCACTCCGACTTTAGAATTTTAGAGTACTTGCGGACTATTCGTAAACGACGGGAACTCAATGATAATCGTATCTATTAACTATTCATAACACTGGTTGAAAACGAAGCTAAATAAATTATTAGTATTATGTAAATTTCAAGGAAATGTGTAAGATATGCAAATAGACGGATATTTATCAATTAGAGAATCTCTAAAACTGTCTGGAGTCTTTCTAGGGTTACTGACAGTCCCAAACTAGAATAAACGGGGTGGGTTGGGTATGAGGTTTTTAACAATCCAATCCCGTAGAGAAGAACTTTGCTAAAAATACGCTAAACAGAGGAACTCTAATACTGAAACTCCAATAGAAAGCAAATTTTTATCCATATTTTCGAGACAAAATAAAAAAGTGAAATAGAGATCTACTAATCCATAATTTTCAGCGCATCGAAATGTAATTATATTCACTCCAATAATTTTGTAAATCTTCAGTATGGGGTTTAGGAGATCATTGGATTTCATCGAAATCACAAATCGATCTAAGTCAGACCAATATTGAAAACCTGGAAGTACTAGACAGTATATTCGTCCTAGTATGGGACTCCTCAGAAGTGAGCAGTCATGGTCCCACAAATGGGACTCGAATCTAGGACTTTTCGCATCGCGCACGAACCATTAAACTCTAAACCACTGAGTCGAGAGGACCCAATGAAATTTTGTAGATGGTTTATATTTAATTACTTGAGACAATTATTCAATTTTAAAACTTACGATAATTTACCACCTTTTGTTAAATCGCCATCATGAATGATTATACGATAAAAAAGTCGAATAATAACTTGAACAACAGGTTTCACTTCATTTTTCAAACCTACTAACCAATTTGTTATTAGTTTAATAGCTGAAATCTGGAAGATAGAATAGGATTAAATTGTTTTAACCTAATAAAAAAATAACTTGATTATAAACATATAATAATATTATTTAAACAAGTAAAATTTCAATCTAACAGTGAGGTTGACATTAAAAAGTATTATATTTTAACGTAAATTGAAATTCATATTTCTCATTACAAAACACAACAACTATCACTACATGGACAACCATTAGTTTAATGATCGAGTTTTAGGTGAATAGTATTTTTGAAGCACTTTAATTATGATATTAAGTTGGGTACCATTTAACTTTAACAGACAAGATTCATTCTATATAGGAATAATAAGTTTTGCTACACTATACATTTGGTTTTACAAACGTACCTAGGAATGTGATCGATGTTTAAAGCGATCAAATTAGGTAAGTAGTACATAAACAGAAATATGTTAAGATTATGCAAATTAGCAGAGTTTTCTGAGTAGAAAATATCGAGTAATGCACAGTAGATGATATGTTTAATAGAATAATATTAGAAAGATTTACGATTTACAAATGAATGTTTCCGTGTCAATAATTATCCTGCTAGATAACACAGAATAGATAATATGAGTCTTCTCACTAGCACTAAGTTCTCCCATCACAACTCATAGAAAACTAGAACATTAAAAAAAATCCGGAGGAACAATACAAGCAATTATTAGATCATACTTTAAAAAATATGTCCAGAGAAATTAATCAACAAGTTTAAACAATCAACGATAATCAATATATAATGAAGTATCCATTCCACTATATAATGTCACTAGAACTTGTATAAACATAATTTTTGATGTGATTTATGAGTTACTGAAAATGGATTTCAATCAGTTATACATAGATGTGAAAAACATAATAATAAAATTATTGTCTTTTAAGCATAATAACCCTGGATAATAAGAAACAGCAGACTGAAGATATATTTTGTAGTTAGAAGAAAATGATATTTTTTGTATTGTCAGTTCACTGTAAATCTGATGACCTTGAGGACAGGAGGGAAAATAAAACCAGACATGTTCATCATCTAATTAGTTAACTATAAATAAAACACATATGTATATAAATTTATGATGACTCATTACATGGATTGTATAGACTTCAATTGTAATCTGAGTGATTCACGCAATTGTTTGTTCGAACAAATGAATTTAGTCATAAAGTTGTCTCAGCTCAGTATGAGAACATTGGAAATTCCTGTTTGATCGCAGAATTCGAGAATGCTACATTAAGCTAGGGGGTTAAAGACTAGGCACTTAGTTAATAGAGTTTCAGGTTCGAAACCCATTCCATGTAATTTTATTTGATTAATCATAAAATAGTATAAACCCTCGTAAAAAAGATGAGGCTTGAAATTGAGTGAGTGAACCTGTAAGTGGGATACATTATTATACTTATGATTGATTTTGAAAATGAGAAGCTAATTGATCTTGGCTTGTTTAGTAGTAATTAAAGAAAGTTATGGGTCATATAAGAAACACTGGAAACAACTCAGTAGTGTTTACCTTTGCTCTAGTTAAGTTACTGATTAAACTATCAGGTGACCAAGAACTAAGAGCATTGCATTCAGCTTTGGATTGATTAGACAAATTCTTTGATGTCACACTGTTTATTGGCGTTTTGTCTTTTTCTTGTTCTTGATTTGGCAGATCATCTGGTTCAAATGTTAATACTTGTTGTACCAAAGATTTCGTAATGAAATTTTTAATATCTTCGTTGTATACATCAGGAAATAATAAAGCAATATGGCTTAATGAAGTGAGGCAGGATATGTAATCGTTAGATAAAATAGGGCATGAAATACAAACCTAGTAGGAGAAAATTTAGAAGCAAAATAATATTAATAATTAGCAATGAAGTTTTTTTTGTTAGAAGTGGCTAGTTTTGGTTAATAAACAATCCAATACAATACTATAGGTGGTCATTTAGGGTAACATCAACAATAAGGAACAGACCAATTATAAGACGTATTATGATGCAAATTATGAGATAACAACAGATACACTTCACAGTAATAGCAAATGATTGATACAGAAACTTGAGGGGGAAAATGAACTAGTCAGTCGTCAAGTTTCTATACAGAAAGACAAATTAAAAGGGAATTTTTTTCAGTAAGTAATACTAACTATCACATAATATGTTTTATTTATAACCTTGTATACAACATTGCAAATCATTGTTGATTTGTAATCACTTCTGATCTGTTACCATCGTAACTGCTTCTCTAAAATCGAATATAATTTAAACTAGGCCTAAATTTTAAATTGTAATGTAACTAGAATGTTATCAACAGTAATTATTATAGAATTAGTGACAGTATGATACAATAATTTGTCAGAATGCTTGAATATGTGTTTACAATCTTTAGAAAAAAAGGAAATCCTGAATTCTCATTAATTATCAATTTTCTAAATCAGAAATTTTCTTCATGTCATTCTGTATGTCATGCAGTAAGATTGATAATTAACTCTTAAAAATGACTTCAAAATAGAAAATAAGTGGATTTATCAAATTTAAAAGTTCATTTATTGTTTCTGATAGGTAATGTAGAGTGAAGGCAAAATCATTCTTAAGATAAATCTTGAAGAATAAGTTTACGACAGTTGAGTGTACACCCTAACGAGAGAATACAAAACGTTGTAGTGGCTTAGCTTCATTAATCAATCATCTTGATAACCGTTATCATATAAATCCCAACAGTATTTGAAGTCAGAAGGTGATAAGAAGCGGCGACTACAGTTTATTAGTGGATAGCGCGGATGAAAAAGCTACAAACACATCAAGTGAATTTGAAGCAAAAAGGCGAATGTGTGTACGCGAGAAAATACAGAGGCAAATTTATAGTCAAATCGAATGCAAGGCGCAGATAGGAAATGCAAAGGCTAATAATAAGATTCGAGTAAATACATACATGGGAAAGAGTGACTTATCGAGCGACATTTAAGCTAAAGCGAGATATGTGTATAGGCTGTCATGACATCAAGAGTACAAAGAAATAGACAAATTGTTACTGTTCGAATAATATTGCCTGTTAAGTAAGTTAATAAAATGACTTAACAAAATCTAACTATAATCGAAATTGACTATATGAGAGAGTTGCTATAACATATATGACAATCCTGTAGCTAAAATTATTCCAAACATAACATTAATTATTAGTGAGGTGAGAAATATCATACGTAAAAATGTATTGAATTTTAAAAGACTAGTATTAACCAAAATTATTAAAATAGGATAAGAAGGAAATTTCGCTCCCATTAAAAACCTGAAATAAACTCTTTTATCATTTCAACAATAAATAATGCAATTACTTAACCTGAACAATATCATTGAGAATTTCATTAATTTTAGATTTTAAAGTAGATAATCTTTTCAGTTCATCAGTTAAATCATCATTCACTGATATAGTAGATTCTTCATCCAAATCTATATTGTTTGTTTCAGATTTACTCTTTGAATTTAATAAATGACGTACAACGTTGCATAGACAAAACAAAATACGTATTGATAGCTTAGAACGACGACGTTCACGACGCCAAACAATACCACTATTCGAAACAGTATCTGTTATTAACTTGGGTGAAGGAATTTTTACTCCATGTTTTGTTGTTTTTCGATTATCTAAATATTGGAATTATACGAGAAAAGAAAAAAACTATCAAATTTAAGTTCAATCATTGATGAACACTATAACAATTATCAGAATGAGTTTTGTGGAGATTTTAGGAAATTTCACAGGTTGAAATCATGATGACGGAACGGCCGTCCAATGCTTCCAGGTTTTCAATGGTGGTCTAGCTTCAACTGACTCATGATTTCAATCTGTGACTATAACAATTATTTCCTCAATAACTAAGGAGAAAATCATGAGCTAATAAATTGAAATAAAGAAGTCAAATTTTTTTGAGAAAAAAAAAACTAATCAAGAAGCCTAACACGTCTTTCGTATTGATTAAACAGCAAATAAAATTTCACTAGATTTACTTTTTATAGACTTTTCTGCAGTTTCTCTATTTTGACATGATTCCAGAGAAATGGGAACAATTCCTGTACAGCAAAAACGACGTAAAATTGGTAATAATTCTTCTGAACGTTCAGTTAACTGAGTATAAATACTAAGATTTTGTTTGTCAGCAATATTTTGAAGAGGCTCAGTTAGGTCATTGTTACTAAATGCTCCACTTGGACCCCCACCAAGTACACAACATAGGATCTACAAAATTTTTTTTAAAAATTATATCATTAAGCATGGAAACATGAAATTGTAACAGAAAGATGATACTTTCTTATTGACTAAACAGTTTATATTTGACCGCAGAATTGTTAGACGAAAACCAAATGTTTCGTATCACGTTAGTAACAGTTCTAATAAGAAAACTGCTCAGATATCAGAATTATTGTAGAGTAAGATTATTCAGAGGAATAAAATAGTAATAATATACTTTTGACTGATTAGAAATTAACCTGGTATCAAACTTCAGTATTGTGAAAAGAGCATGGTTTGAGATTCATTTCCCTTATAAAATGAGTATCTGATTCATTTCGTGTATCTTTTAGCAAAACACTATACAGCAATTAAGAAAAAGTAATTGGTTTAGTGCCAATAAAACTACATCAAATGATATTTTTTATAGATTATAGATTTTCAAAACCTCTGGGATGTTACCTTATTTCTGAACGCATTGATTCTTACCAGTTTCACCACTTGGCCATGGTAACAACAGATCAGGTCAACTGTTATGTCCTATCTAAACCTCACTTTTACAGAACTTTGAGTACACTGCTTCGTTTCATTCTAATGTTCCTTTTTGACAGAGAACTGCTAAATAAGTAACAAGTTGTAACCAGATCAAAAAAACTTAAAACGTGTGATAAAACCACCACATTGTCAGAATTTTCGTGAAACTATGAGATTTACAATTTTCACTTAAAAACAACTGGAAAAGTGTACAGTCAAATTCTAATGACTGTAAGTCTAAAGTATCAAACTTCAGGTTTGACAGAATTGTAGACACATTGAATTCATTATTAACTAAACGAAATAGATGTATGCTGAGTTATGGACTATGTGAAAAATTAGATGACAGTTATCTAACTCTAAAGAACTTACATGCTTCACTCTCTAAAATTAGGCTGGATGTAAATTCGGCTTCGTTTATGAATGCCGTTTGGAATCCCTATACAGTAAATTAATAGTTTTATTTCTAAATTATTTGTGTAATCTTATGCAGGACTCATTGAATGATAACTAGTAAGTGGTTTTAGGTTCATACCATAAAAAGTCATTTAACTATATTATACTGAAACACTGTAGTTTTTTAGTACATTATTATTATTAATTTAAAAAGTCTACATCATAATTTCTTAATGGTTAACAATTTCAAGTTACACTGAAACAGATATGTTTTAAGAATCACTTATTGCAATCTTTAATATTTATCTAAATATTATTCAGCCGTATAATGAGAATATATGTTAACACTGTTGGAATTAACGACAGTAATAACTTAAAATTAGATTTTCACATGTAACCTTAATTCCAATTATTCCAATTATGCCTGAAGTGATATTTTCATATAAAATGTACTTGTTGAAAATCATGTATGTCAAGTGTTATATCCCTGGTTTCTTACGGTTAATGACCCAGCTATTCCTATTGCTTAGTATTCTCGGACACCGATTCACTCGACAAGTCCCCAAATCAGAACACGGTTGAACAGGAAAAAGATTATATTCCAAATAGCAAGTCAGAAGCCAGTAGGAAGCACAATAGGGGAAAACGTCGGAAGATTCCAGAGTATTCTCCGACTATCGACTAGTGCTGATTGGATAAGAATCAGCCAATCAGCGTGCACCAAAACAATCATGCATTGAGCATGCTTTAATCTAGTCTATGTCCCGCTAACATCAAGACTTACTGAATAATAAATAATGAACTAATGTTTTTTTTTCTCCAAAAACATAGAGAGTTCAATACCGACAAAATAATCATTTAAAAAATATAACTGCATATCAGATGATAATGAGGACTGAATGAAATAAAGATTTACGAAATATTATGTCTTCTTACTTACACTTAAAGCCATTTCTTGTAATGTATACGAATCGTCGTAAGAATCTGAATTAGCTGACGATGATACATTTTCATCATTATCATCATTAAGCACTGACGAGTTTTCATCAGATAAAATACAGAGTAGGTAATCCATAACCTTATTTAAAGGTAGTATCTCCTGAAGTTAAAATAATAAACAGTTGTGAATTAAAATGATAGGAATGGTAGTGATAATAATGAAATAATTATATAGGGAAAAAGGTGATAACTAACAAAAAAAATGGAGACAACTAGGTTGCCATCAGACAAGGCAGTTTATGATTGGTCCATACTAATGATATATGGTTTGCATGACTATTTCCACAGATTGCACAGTTCATTAAGAACCTAACTTAACTTCTCAAATAATCAAGAGAAAATAATTTATTTTTTTCTTATAAAGAGATTACTATACAATAGAGATTATACTACGCAAATTGCCGGAGCCATGTAATTTAATTTCAAATCAATAAAATATTTTAACGCTGAGGTTATAACTTGGTGGACTAGCAACTCAGCTCTGAATCAATTGAGAACGGACTCCAGTAGTTTTATTCCTTTATCAGTTGAGAGATAAAGGTACAACCACGTCTGCGCGGGAAGAGGGTCCCAACCCTAGAACGTACAAATGTATTACACTTATAATTCAACATTGTTTTTATCATACGAGATAAATGAAAATGTTTATTTTAGAGGCAAATCTATTACTCAGTAACCAAGCCCTAAGTACAACAAAAAACACTGTACTACTGTTTTTATGTAGGTCTAAATCGATAAAATTAATACAAAGGGGAGGAACTTCATGAAAATCAGTACAATTAAAACAATGACCATGAATGATTTTGATAAGCCAATAAGTTTATAAACCAACTTTAACGCTTAATGTAGAAAATCCACTACATAACAATTAGGGAAGAAGTTTCTCGAGAATATACTGTTAAATTGAATAAAAGATTATATCTAGACGCTAATTTCCCAATAACTCCATTATTATTTTCTTAATTGATGTTAAAACATTTTCCTAATAGTCTCGAAACCAACTACGCATTCAGAAAGTCGACAACGCATAATTTTACTAAAAGTGAATAATCAGCTCACTTTAAAATAAACGGACACTGCAAGTAATAAACGCAGTGAACGTGTCACATTCATACGTCCAGCAGTTCCAGATAAGCAACCAGTTTTCTTGATGATATATAGCTGATTGACTAATTCCATGCCAAAATTACGATCAAAAAGAACAGGCGCACATCGTTCCAGTAAAATCTTTACAACACGTGCGTAGTTTGTTTGGTTATCATTGAAACTATTGGGATTTTCTGCTGCCGTCCCTATTTTTTTTAATATATCTCTCTAAAAACAAAAAAACAGGATCAGGAATATAAGACAAACAGTGATTCGTCAAAAATTGAAACCCTATGCGGGTAACAGTTTGACGTACTTAATATATGTGTAACATAAATATTGATAATCAGAACGATAAATACTTACTAACGCTGATGTTGCCTGAGCACAAGCGGTTTGTGGCTTAGTCAGTTTAACTAAATGATTCCATAGTGTTTTATCTGTATGAACTTGATTGAAGAAACGTTTCAGATGTTCAACTGACTTTTCTGATTTCGGTATTAAAACTTTGACGGAGAAAAAAAAGGATTATAGAGATTAAAAAATTGATAGAAAGTAAAGACTGATATTGGTTTTATGAACCTACAGTATTCAAAAAAATACTTACACTGACATTAAACACATGATAAAAGTATATGGCGTTTGAAATCTTTACAACAAGATTTGCGGGTAACTACATATTTTGAAAACATTATTGACGTACATGGTTAGTCAACTGGAATAAATGTTTAGAAACCCTAGGTAATACAATAGATTAAAAATATATTTGAAGATCGACGACAGAATCTTCTTTGATCTCGCAATATTATAAGTTACAACCAATAAATTCAACGAATGAAGCCCAAAGTGAAGAAAGAATAGTGGCAAGAAAATCAACATGATAAGGATTTCTAAGTCAACTGAACTAAATACAATTGGATGACATTTAATGGATCGTAAAAACAGTAAGTCATTTGGCATTTTCTTCATTTATCCTATGATTGTTGTCTGCTCTTCAATATTACTAGCATAAAGTTAGGACGGTTTGTCGTGAAATTCGAGGAAATCAGCTCTAGACTGAATACATTTAGAGGGGGCTACTCAAACCGAAGTAGGTGGGGATAATATAGAACTAACTAGACAACTAACGACAGATGGCAATTAACCTTTGATTGTCTGGTATCATAAAGAATTTGCCGTAGACTGTTGAAGACAAAGTTAGTAATCTACCTATATGATTGAAGGAATCCAAGGGATCAAATTTTTTTTAACAGAAACAGTCTATAAATGATGACTTTTATATATAATATGAAATGAGACAAACCGAAAGACAGACCATTATAATGATCATGGACAGTAGCTTAATGTAAAATCTGGAGAGTCAATAAGCATCTGAAATATATAAATGTAGCTAAACTAATAAAAACATAAGAGATTGTTTCGAAAATGGTGATAATCTAATATATGAAAATTGAGACGGATCAACGACAAACTCATAGAGCAAGTTACTCAAACTGTGAACAGAATATTGTAAATAATTGGAATGACTTAGCAATTTTGCGGTTGCTGATAACTTAAATTACTTACTTACTTACTTACGCCTGTTACTCCCAAAGGAGCATAGGCCGCTGACCAGCATTCTCCAACCCACTCTGTCCTGGGCCTTCTTTTCTCGTTCCATCCAATTCTTGTTCATTTTTCTCATGTCTATCTCCATTTCTCGGCGTAATGTGTTCTTTGGTCTTCCTCTTTTCCTTTGACCTTCAGGATTCCATGTGAGGGCTTGTCTTGTGACGCAGTTGGGTGCTTTCCTCAATGTGTGTCCTATCCACTTCCAGCGCTTCTTCCTGATTTCTTCCTCCACTGGGATCTGGTTTGTTCTCTCCCACAGTACGTTGTTGCTAATAGTGTCCGGCCAATGGATCTGAAGTATTTTGCTTAGACAATTGTTGATAAACACCTGTATTTTCTGGATGATGGCTTTTGTAGTTCTCCAGGTTTCTGCCCCATACAGTAGAACTGTCTTGACATTTGTATTGAAAATCCTGACCTTGGTGTTGGTTGACAGTTGCTTTGAGTTCCAGATGTTCCTCAGTTGTAAATATGCTGCTCTTGCTTTGCCGATCCGCGCCCTCACATCTGCATCAGATCCACCCTGTTCATCAATGATGCTGCCCAAATACGTAAAGGTTTTTACATCTTCCAAATCTTCTCCGTCAATTGTGATTGGATTGGTGCATTCTGTGTTGTATCGGAGAATCCTGCTTTTCCCTTTGTGTATATTGAGACCTATTGCTGCTGAGGCTGCTGCCACACTGTTCGTCTTCTCCTGCATCTGTTGTTGCGTTTGGGATAGAAGGGCCAGATCGTCTGCGAAGTCTAGATCATCCAACTGCATCTTAGATGTCCATTGTATCCCGCGCTTTCCTTCAGACGTTGACGTCTTCATGATCCAGTCGATCACCAGGAGAAAGAGAAAGGGTGAGAGTAAGCAACCTTGCCTAACACCGGTCTTCACTTTGAACGACTTTGTCAACTGTCCTCCATGCACGATTTTGCAGTGTAATCCATCATATGAGTTCTGTATGATATTGACTATCTTCTGAGGCACGCCGTAGTGTCGAAGAAGTTTCCATAGTGTTGTTCTGTCCACGCTATCAAATGCCTTTTCGTAGTCAATGAAGTTGATGTAGAGTGATGAATTCCATTCAATTGATTGTTCCACAACTTAAATACTAGCAGGTAAAATAATCACACTTGTTTAAACATGAAATTAAACTGCAACATAATTTATATAAAATCATGAACGCAAGTGATACAGGTACTATTTTTATCGTTTATACATTGATATTCATTCAAGCATATGGACCTTCAGGTTATTTTTCAGACTCATTATCAAAAATAAGTTCAAGAAAAAACGAATGTTAACTTTCTTAGTATTTACCATTTGAATGGGGTAAAACACCACGCTTATAAATACTAATTTAGGGAGTATAGCTTATGAAACCATCATGATACTGAACGTAACCGCTATATCGTTTGTACGTTCAAAGTAAGAAAAAAAACATTCCTACGGGTAATAATGTCACTCTAGACTTTTCTTTGAACACTATTTGTGATGTCATAAATCCGGTAGTAAATTTATAGAGGAATGACAATGTAAGATAATTCAGTTCATTTAAATTATTGATCTAAGAAAACAGATGCAGATAGTCGTATACTTTTATTTTCAGTTATGATTGTACAAAACATTCAAAATTAATGGAATCTTATATAAGGATTCCGATAAGAATGTTGTCTTCAATATGAATTATGTAAATAAAATAACAAATGAATTTATAAAACGAAACCCATATTTGAAGGAAACTCGTACAAAATAAGAAAACATTTCTGGATACTTACTGCTAAGATGCTGTATGACACCCATTATTTCAGTATTAACTTCGGAAGGAATTTTCGCATTACGGTGGTCAGTTAACAACTTGACAACATCACGAAGAAGTTTGAGGGCACTAACAAAAAAATATTTTAAAATGTTCAGGTCGTTACTGACAAACAACAAGATGATTTAGAAGTGAGTTGATAATATAGCGGATTTACTCTCCCAGTGCTAAAATTTATTCCTAAAAATAATCATAAACGAAGGCATACATCCAAGTCAGCTGAGAGTTCTGAATCAGATTAGTGACTGTGGTGACAATCGGTAAAGCAAAATAGAACTTAATAGAATATTTCTTTCAAAATTTCAGGATATTGGGGAGTTGGCTAGTTTTTACGGGTCATTTTATAAGGGATTTATCACTTTTCTTTACGTCAGTTGATTTCGGCTGTGATATCTGAAGGTCGCTGTGGATCATGTGATTCCTGGAATTTTTCGATTACAGTAGCTCAAACTATGGGAAATGAAGATTCACCATTGTCCTATTCCTTCGTTGTTTATTTGGTTACAAGTAAAGCCCGCAAACTATTTATACTGGAATACCCACCATCTTGAGATACATAACACAAATAAAATACTATATATTTATGAGCACCATAAAATATCATGGGCATAAACCCAAAAATTTCGTAACACAAGATTTTATAAATAACATAATAGTCTAAAGCTCAACAGGATTCCTAAAACACGCTGGTAGACTTACACATATTGGGTCTTAAAAATTTCCTGCATAGCTTTGATTGAAGCTTCATCCATCAAACTGTAACAGCGGAATAAGGCTTGCACACGGACAGCATTTTCAAAATTGTACGGAATGATTGAACTCTTTAATAACCGTTCAACGATAAGCCTATAAAGCAATTATTGAAAAAAGGATATTTTAAAATCAAATTTGTTACTATGAAGAAAAAACTGAATGACCAGATCTAAAGTTTCTAAAAGATTAATAAAAAACCGAACAGTTCTTTTAATTGGCAAACCTCCTAGCGTCCTATAATGAAAATACTACTACTAAAATGTCAAATAATTTTCATTGAGGAACTTTACAATATTTGTCTGTTACTTCAACATAACCAACAGTTATTTATGAAATCCACAGCGAGATATTTTGTTGTTCTTAATCTACTGACTACAAAGCATCTAAGATCAGAAAGAAACAAAATACACAAAAAACCTAATCGTAGTCTATGGGATGTATCGACAGGTAGCTGATAAAGTTAAACAATCACTATAATCAATGGACTAAATGTTTTCATAAAAATTATACGACAAAAACAAAACTAGAGTGGAGTGAAATTGGAAAGTACTCTTTGGGATGGCTCGTATAAATCAACGAGCATACGCGAAACCATTGTATGATCACTGGGATCCAGGCCTTAGAAATGAGCTAAAGATATGGTTGGCATATTCGAACAGCAAGTTTCAAAAGAAAAAGAACAGAACGATGTCTAACATATATTGAAGTGCTAAATACTTAGTTTATACATAGGAATGATAACTAAAATCTGGACACTGCAATATTAGAATCAAAAAGACCCATATGAGCCATACACTTTGCATTTCAATTAGTATACAAGAAGCTGAACTAGCAGAATCAAACACAGCTACACTAACCCGTACACCTAGATTATTAGTTTGTGTGGGATCAGAGAAGCAATGAGATGAAGTGTGACAGAAAGATGTACCCTTCAATTAGGAATATCATAAACACCCAGGTCAAAGTAATAGAGGAATCTACTAATAACTGCGAATAAAGTAGTAAGACAATGATCTATGTTGGGACTAATCAGATTTAGGATAACGAATCTCAAGTTTTGACGAGAAATTTATTCTTTCATATAGCTAAATAGCGTTTTGGCACCATAGCTGATGTCAATACGTGGTGAAAACCTTAACTTTTAACTTTGAGTCCCAATTCTGATTACTCACACTAGACCCCAGTAAGTAGGTGGATTTTCCTAAGGTAACATTGGTGTCACCCAAAAGTTGTTCATAAACTAGTCTCACCAATGAAATGAATTACTACACTAACTCCCAAGGGTCTCTCTTAAACCTGAGTCTGTCAATCAACATGTGGTAACGAGTCGATGCATATAAATAAATATCATACGATCACACAATAAATAATAGCATACTAAAAATCTCAGTTTGAACTATGGGAAACGTAAGATTGTATTTTCCCGAAAACACATTGGATAATCGATAAATAAACAATGCCTCAGTTGATGGTTACATCCGAAAGATGTCCCATAGTAAGAACAAAAATATTCAAAACTTATAGGAACTCAGAATATGTCTGAAACCAACTTGTCATCAGTTGAGTTTTGATAGTACAAGTGCAAAATTGTATTTAGAGCGGAAGCTGACTTTGTAGCAGATAACCAACCCGACTGCAAACCACCTTTATACAACGAAGCTAAGGCGGAAGAAGCTTCTTTACGAATAGACAGGGTCTTGTCTCGAGAACGCTCCTTTAACAATTCAAATGCATCATCGCTAACTTCACTTTCAGATTGTTTAATAAGACCAGTCATTGTTTTTAAAGCTAAAAGTCGGACTTCTATGAATTGAAAAAACGGTATGAAAACATTATGCTACTATTAAAACAAATAATTGGCAGGTATATAGTAGATTCTTAACTATAAAAAAGTAACAATAAGGAGTATGAAGCCACGTGTATGGAGTGTCGGACTCCCGATTATACATGTGAATTTCAAAAACCAGATTACAGATGTGGACTTTCTTTGACTGACTTAGACTTGAGCAATCAGTTTAAGGAATATGGTGTGTTGAAATATAAAAAGAAGCGTAAAAGCCTGTGTCTACGAATTCTGAGTTTTTTGTGATATAAAATTAGCTACACTAAATACATTCTTGATGACATATACAGAAATCCTGAATGACATTATTATAACACTACTTAAAAATGATTTTACGACTACCGTAACCAATGGTTGGAGACTATCTGGCATGGCTCAGAATCGGTCACAATGGCGTAGGTATATACACCCTTTGTTTTCCCTCAAACCGTGAGATTAAAACTACTTTATACCTTTCTTTCTACGAACTAATTCCTTCTCCCTGTATTATATTCTTACATGCAATCCTTTTTTATATATTACTACTATTAAAGTAACTACTATGAATTTGGTGTTCATCTTGTGCTAATGAAGTGTTGCGACTTGGATCGATGAATATATGTGCCTGGTCCTACGTTTTAGCTGACTGATTGACTTCACATGCTTTCGATGCAGCACATTTGTAAGGACAAAGAAGTTTACGAGTCCGAAAAGTTATTCGCTAGCTACTGACTTTTGCGTCAAGCAGTCAATGAATAGACTCATATGTCAACACTTAATGATAGCTGATTCCGTAGATCCACTGCATTACTTGAGATATCCTTGTAGTCGGCGCAAGGACACGTTAGTTGGCCACTTTCTTATTAAATGAACATTTGCAGAATCAAATATTTCAGGCAATAATCATTTACTTAAGACACTTAAACGTTCGGAATGAAGCGACCAGGTGAAATACGATAAGATTACTTCCCTTAAACCTTATATAAGAACTTAATTGCATTCAACCATAACATGATAAAACTAACCTTCATCGGGATCATAAATACGCTGTTGAAAATTTGTCAGCAACTGTTCATGAAGCAAATCCTGGTTTTGTTTTAAAAGCTGAGGCAACATGTGAATACATAACTTGCGGACTTCACTATCAATGTCATTGAAGCGCCCCAGGAATGCATCCCAAAGACTTGGATTTCTCCTGTGAAGTAAAGAATTCTTAAATGTTTAATATAAAACAACGTAAATACATACCGGTTCAGAAAACAAGCGTGCTAATAATCTGAAAGATCGTTTACGCTCACGTACAATAGGCGACTTTAGCTTTAACTCAATAGTCGGAAGGACTGGAGCTACTATACTGCTTTGTATCGTGTGCAGAGCGTATATGATGAGAAATGCGTGCTCTCCAAGTAGATCAGAATTTCCCTGATCATCTTTAGATTCAGTCACATCAGATATTCCCACGCTGCTGTCTTCCAAAACCTCTTCAGGAGGACGGATGGGTTTACCTTCAGTTTTCATTTGGGTTCCATTACATTTACCCACAATTAGGGAGTTTTGTAATAACTTGTCACTAGAAAATACTAGATAATTAACTTACCATTTGAATACGGTATTCTAGCTGATCAGCAGTCCTTATTATTAAGTCTCGAGCGAATGTATGCTGAGCCGGTTGAGTACTTTTTGCAGGTTCTATTAGGTACTGAAGTATAAAAGTGACTAGGTCAGAAGACAGGAATTTCTCAGACTGGATAATAACCTTAACAGCCATATCTAAAATCATCTGGCGAACGATGGAATTATCAGTCCAAGACCAGACATCAAGGTTTCTACCACTATTATTTCGTAAAATGAATCATACTTAACAATAGCAAAAACCATTTTGACAAAGCCAAATAGGACAGATTCATCTTCCAAAAACGAACACCACATGAAGACATCAATTTGAGCACAGATCTAAGTTTGGACGTTATGAGATTTTGCAACGTACATAAATCATTGTATGAAGTTTAATATATACAGCATCGGTTTTCGTCTTCACATTTGAAAGTAATCCAATACAATCAATTAAGAAATACAGGATTTCCTAGAAACTTAGTTTAAGAAGTGGACAGTACCTTTGTGAGGACTTTTTCATCCGATAAACCAGAAAGAGGGTTGCATGGACAGAATATTTTAAGTAGCTTGCAAATACATACACCGACTCGTAATTGAATATCTCTATCTGCATTTTTCAGGAACTCTGGTGATCCAAGCAGAAGAAATAGTCCCTTATATTTTGTATGGTCCTGTGAAAGCGATAATCTGTCTCCATCCAGTGAAGTTTCAGTTGACTTTCCTTCTTCCTCTATAACATTGTCTAGTGCGTTACATAGCTCCTGAAGAATAATAATGAATATAATGCATACAGTCAGGCGTCTTCTTAATTCTTCTTTCGACAAATCATCATTTATGGGCTTACAATTAGGTGGATAAATTAATTCTAGACCTATAGATGGCATTTAACAAATAAAGTGATGAAAGGGATCAACCCGCCAAAACAAAACGAATTGGATTTTCGCCAAAGCCTAAAGTTAGAAAAACAAATAGAAAACAGTAAGTTTTCGATCGATTCTTCACATGTAAATTTCGATGAAGACTCAGGTGTCTGATGATTAAAAAGTATATTCTTAGCGTCAACTTTTATGTTTTCATGAGATGCGATGCAGTGTTGCCGGACCAGTTTTTGGATAAAACTAATAGTCTTTTTATATCATGAAACTTTTGAGATTTTAACTTGCACATCTTCTTAAAGGGTTATTTTGAGACTCATAAACGAAACTCTTTTTCATATATATATGCGTCAAATATCATAATCACGTTTCGTTCCTTCAGATTCATCTTTGTGTAGTAAGGACAGAAGACCTGCGGCGTAAGTTATTTCTTTTCAAGTATGCTTCTATGAGTGTCCAGTCTTCTTTTGAATGAGTTTGTTGAAGGTGCGAACACCACTGCTTTGGTCAAAAGGTCCGAGGAATTGACCACTCTGTGTGAAAACCTGTATGTCACTGGTATTTTGTTCGTTTTTGGCTTTTCTACTAGTCTGCGATAGGACAGGGTAAAAATGTCTAGCTTTCCAAGCTGCTCTTTGTATGACAAATCGCGGAGTTCTGTAATTGCACTTTATAGCTGCCCGCTGTACTTTTTTCAAGATATCTGAGTCACCTTTCAGATAGGGGCTTGAAGCCTGAACGCAGTTCTCAAGCTTAGTTTGTAGAATTATGGTCTACTATGATATTAGTACTGCTCTAATAATAGACCTAATCCTAAATTTGTAGATTTGTCATGATATAACTGCCTAATCTATAAGATCTTACGTGGAAGTCACACCATCGACTACACCAACTCACTGTATCGTATCAATTACCAATACATGATGTAGAACAAGGTAAGGCTAAAGAAAGAACAATATATTTAATATGAACAGAAGATATAAAGTAACACTGAGATGGACCACGCCTGCATGGACGAGCCATGCCATCAGATCAAACCCAGTCCATTCAATTCCTTGTTCGCGCCTTCTCCATTGTTAGGTATTCCTCCGCGTTAAACATTGAATATCTATTTCTGAGTAGTCTCGTGTTCACAGCTTTGTAGATTGTGTGGCTATTGTCTAATGCCACTACAAGTTCTCACCAACGTTGTGTGTACTGTAGTGAACACGGTAGTACCTAACCTAGTGAATGTCCGTCTTAAAGCCCATAGGGTTCAAAATACCTCCCTCTACCTATTAACTTTTGTATCCGAAGAGTGCATGTGGACACACTTTGCCTCGTTGATAGGCATCAGCCACTCTTCAGACCAGTTAACCACATTATTTTAGTCTACCTGAAATGCATATGCATCTGCGTCTCCCGTTATTCCTCACCAGATTTTTACACCGTCAGCGTATAATAACACTGAGACTGCGCTATACTTGAGAGATCATTTACATACAGTAAAAAAGGGCCTATGGCAGAACCCTGCGGTACTACACTAAGTACTGGTCTTTAGGTGGAGCACTTCGAATTTATCCTTACTTCCTGTCTACGACCAACTAGGAAATCCTCAAGCCATTTTAAGAGAGGTCCGGTAATGCCAAGACTTTCCAGTTTCAATAGCAGTCTATTTGTTGGTACCTTGTCAAATGCTCTGCTGAAGTCTATGTACACAACAGCCACTGAGCTTCCGTTGTCTAGCGCCTTTATCCAATGCTTTCTTGTTATGAGGAGGTTTGTTGTGCAAGATAAGCCCTTTCTGAAACCATGCTGTTTGCTGATTAATAAGCTTTTGGTTTCCAGGAATGCCATTATGGTCATGGTAACCATTCTTTCCAGTATTTTAACTACGACACTGGTGAACCTGCTGACAGGTCTGTAGTTCGATAGACGTTGTCTTGGTCCTGTTTTATGTATCAAAGTGACGATTACACCCTTCCAGTCCGTAGATAACACACCTTGTTCAGGAGACATATTCAATATCACAGTCAGTGGGGCTGCGATATATTGTGCAATATGTCTCGGGATGTTGGGGTGTAGTTCATCCGGTCCTGTTGACTTTTCCGTATCTAGGGTGCTAAGAGCCTTAAGTACATCGTCTCGGTCAAAATCCATGATGGGCAGACGGTTTTCCGAATTTGTATTTGGGCCTATTTCTTCATATTAAAGAGGCTCTTGAGTGAAAACTGCCAAAATGTTGTTCGCCATAGCCTCGGGTTTTTCCTAATCTTCCTCTATTATTTCAGATCCACTCCCTTCGTTAATTAGTTTGAAAATCCAATTCTGCATCTGCGTTCTGTAATTTACGTACGAGAATATCCTCTCAGGCTGCTTGAGTGCAGATTGTGCTAAGTAAATTTCATATTTTCTCTGAGCTTCCCGGGTTTTAATTATACACTTGTGGCGTTCCATCGTGCTTACCGTCCAGAGGCTGATGGCAACGTGCCAACATTTCTGCTTTTTTCTTAGTAAACGTCGAATATCCCGGCCTATCCAGGGATGGCCATGCTTCTTTTTTGGGATTGTCCAGGGTATATATGGTTGAGTTACCCTATTGTATAATTGTCTTAATGAGTCCATGCCTCTTCTACTGATGCCCCTGAGTCAATTATCCAGTTTTCAGCCGATGCTGCAGAGTTTATCACCTCCATGTCTGCCTTCCATATGTTGGAACGGGCCGGCGCAACTGTTTGACAGGCCAATCCAGCCACAAACTTCGACTAGATGACTGCATGATCGCTTCTTCCTAGCGGTGGAAGGAAAGGCACTTGGCCGATGTCATCACCATGTGCGAAGACTAAATCCAAAAAGAAGAGTAGTTAACAAATCATATTTGGTGGGATCTCTAATGTGTTAGAATAAAGCTAATACAATTGAGGTTTCTAACAGTTTGCAATCGAATGACGTTGTCGATGACACTACTTCTAAGATTATCTAGTTTTTATAAGGTGCACTAAAGTCGCCTACTATAAGGCTTTTATACATACTACACCAAAACTTAACTTTGCTTATGAGGAAGCCATCTACTACACATTCTGGACTGCGATATACGACGACTAATTCAACATCTTGCCGTCTACATTTCAGCCTGCAGCGAACCAGTTTACATGTCCATGAATCATGTATCACTGTCTCAACTGCTCGTATAGTTGGGGTACTTTTCGTGTACAGGATAACTCAACCTCCCCTACGGTTTAATCTATCAGCCCTACTGGATGAAAGACCAGCCGACTGAATTTCATTATCGAACACTTCTGACATTAACCATGTTTCTGAGGCAGCAATAACATCTAGTTTTTCTATATCCACCATTATCTTGAGCCCCGCCATTTTGCTTAGTAGGCTGCAAGCATTTGTGTAGCACACCTGAATTTCTGTAGAGAACTTTGCATTACCACTCAGACTGTTCTGGGGATCGTTTTGCTTCGAATGTTTACAATTTGAAAACTCTTAAGTACAAGGTTTCTTTCGCCGATTCGGTGGCGCTCATTTATTTCTACCTCTGAAGTTCGTCCCTTTATACGGTCAACCAGACTGAGATTCTCACGGACGTATATTCTGGATCCAATCAGTTTGCGTGAGTCCCCCAAGATCAGGTTTCTTTCTTCAACCACAGCAATGGTGACCTTCAGGAGGAGGTTTTCTGAATACTTTCAGAATCCACCTTTTGTCCTATTCTATAGAACTTACAGATGCCAATTTCTAAGAATGTTTCTGGGAGTAGCTTGCTTATTGAGGACTTATTGTGACTGAGGTCGTACTCAAATCTAGCCCTTGGTTCCTTTTCGGAAGATTCTCTTAACTCATGGCTTATGGAATTTTAATTCCTGAAATCATCTCTTCCCTGCATCCGGCTCCAATTTAGCGCCAAACACAGAGGTCACATTCTGTTTTCTTACTTATCGCTTCTTAAATGTGACTGTGAGCCATTCATTTGCCTTATTTTGTCTCTGAATCACATCCTCTACACCGCTCAGACTTCGATTCCCCATAATTTGTTTTGCGTTGATATGTGAATCCGGAACTGAAATAATAGATTCACATACCTTGGTACTGTCTACAGGTGGTTTCTTCTTCTTAGAGCGCTTTCTCTTTTTCCTTGTGACAATCCCTACATCCGTATAATTGCTACCTGCTCTCCTGATGGGGTCCACACTTATGGTCTCATTTAAGTCCAGAACTGGGCTCATGATAACGTTCTGTGAAGGCAGAGTTCTGCTCATCTACTACTGTCTGTTTATCTGAATGCAATTTTCTAGTTATGCTCAGCAGCTCAATCGCCTCTAGAATCAGCATAGACGTTGTAGAACAACATTCTTCGCTCAGCCAACGTGACAATGGCTTGCGGCAACTTTATATGCTGCTGGTGAGAGTCCGCTGCATACATTGTGATACCACTTATTGCAGTTGTCACACGGCGTCCCATCATCGATAGGGAAAAGGCATGCACGTCTGCCATAACGATATTTTACTTGCGCCATAAATTCGTTTTGTGATCTCACAGCGAAAACTGATAACGTTTCTTTAAAGCTTGATAAGTGATAGACAGTGAACACAAACAAAACAGAGATTTGTATATAACTGTACCTAACAACTCTTAAAAACCGACTTTAGTAGTTACGAAATACCTTAACACCTATGGATACAGGTAATACTCAAAGATATACTCAACGATGATGAAAACAAGACAAAGTGAGGAACAAAAGAATACTGTGAAAAAAATCTTCCAGAACTTTTAACTATTCGAAATAAGCACGTTTTAACCAGCAATCGAGTTTTTGGGTGAAACCACGACTTATGAACGACTTTTGAGCAGCGCTAAAATGACCTTAAAATGTTCATCTACTGGGGTTAAATGAGGGTTACAGATTATCAGGAGGAATTGACATTAGGATTTACGGTTGAACGTAAGGGTTATGAATTAGATTTAGTGTTTTCATCACTAAATGACATCAACTATAATGCCAAAATGTGTTTGGTCAAATGACTGAACGAATTTCGCACTAAAATTCAAGATGTGCAATC